TGGTCCTGACCCCTCTGCCTGTCCCCCCCATCCTGGTCCTGACCCCTCTGCCTGCACTCCCTGATGTAGCATGTTCAATTTGGGCTGTTCCTGTCTGTCCCACTGGACATGAGATCTATAGGACTGGGGTTGAGGCTGTTCTCAATACTTGTGTCCTCAGCGCCACCTAAAACAGGGCTGGGTGTGCAGTGGGCCCCATTAGTTATCCAAGACCCTTTGGAGGTATGATTACGCCCTGCCGCCTCTCTCTGCAGCGCTCCAGTGTCCCGCCCACAGCCACTACTCCGTCTGCACACGCACCTGCCAGGGCTCCTGTGCCGCTCTCTCCGGCCTCACGGGCTGCACCACCCGCTGCTTTGAGGGCTGTGAGTGTGACGACCGCTACCTGCTTTCCCAGGGTGTCTGCATCCCTGTCCAAGATTGTGGCTGTACCCATAATGGCCGATACTTGCCGGTGAGTAGGGGATCGGGCAGAGCAGAGAGGGTAGAAGAGCTTGAGAGACCCAGAGCTTCTTCTGTGCTGACCTTTCAAGGCTGGGGACAGAGGAGGCACCACCATCTCCCAGCAGTGTGACTTGATGCAGGCAACCTCTCCCTGTTGGTTTCCTGCAGCCTCTGTAAACAATGACCGCAGACTTGGCAGCTAAAGCAGGAGAAATTCATTCTCCCACAGTTCTGAAATCCAGAAGTCAGAACCTCGATCGCTGGCTGACATCAAGGTGTTGGCAAGGTGGCACTCCCTCCAGAGAAATCTAGAGGATGCCATGCCCAGTGGCTCACACTTGCAGTCCCAGCCCTTTGGGAGGCCAAGGCGGGAGGATCACTTGAGCCCAGGAATTCAGAACCAGCTTGGGCAACATACTGAGATCCCATCTTTATATTTAAAAAAAAAAAAAAATCAGCTGGGCATGGTGGTGCACACCTATAGTCCCAGCTACTCAAGAGGCTGAGGTGGGACCATTGCATGAGCCCAGGAGTTGGAGGCTGCAGTGAGCTATAATCACGATGCTGCACTCCAGCCTGGGTGACAGAGCGAGACCTTCTCTCTTTTCTTTTTGCCCCACCTGCCACTGTCTTGATTGAGTTATAGAGTAAGACCTTCTCTCTAAAGAAAAAAGGGAAAAACAAATCTAGGGGAAAATCTGTTCGTTGCCTCTTCCAGTTGCTGGTTGCTGCAGGTTTTCCTTGGTTCTGGCCACATCACTCCAACCTCTGCCTCCTCTTCCACGTTGTCGTAACATCTCCCTCTGCTTCCCTCTTATAAAGATACATATGATTGCATTTAAGGCCCACTCAGATAACCTAGGAGAAATTTTTCATCTTAAGATCCTTAATTCCGCCGGGTGAGGTGGTGCGTGCCTGTAGTCCCAACTACTCGGGAGGCTGAAGCTGGAGGGTCGCCTGAGCCCAGGAGTTCTGGGCTGTAGTGCACTATGCCCATCAGGTGTCCTCACTAAGTTCGGCATCAATATGGTGACCTCCCTGGAGTGGGGGACCACCAGATTGCCTGAGGAGGGGTTAACTGGCCCAGGTCGGAAATGGAGCAGGTCAAAACTCCCGTGCTGATCAGTAGTGGGATCCCGCCTGTGAATAGCCACTGCACTCCAGCCTGGGCAACATAGCGAGACCCTGTCTCTTAAA